AAGCAAGAAGAGAAGGAAGAGGGGAAGGAAGAAGCTCCTCCTCGACCACCGCCGGAACCTCGCCGGACCACCGCAGGAGCCTCGCCGTACCACCGCAGAAGCCTCGCCGGACCACCGTCGGAGCCTCGCCGGACCACCGTCGGAGTTTCGTCGCACCACCATCTCAAGGCCCGACGTTCAGGCCCGACATGCTACTAAAGGCCTGACATTCATGCCCAACGTTCTGCTCAAGGCCCGACTTTCAGGCCTGACGTCTTCATCTGAGGCCCTCACCTTCTCCAGAAGCCCTTACATTCGTCAAAGGCCCTCACCAACATCTGAGGCCTTCACCTTTACCTGAGGCCCTCACCTTCGCCAGAGGCCCTCATCTTCGCCAAAGGCTCTCTCCTCTGCTAGACTAACACCTTACGCCGTTGTTTTGTCGGAACACCACCTGAGGCCTGGACTTTTGCTGGGCCACTACCTGACGTTCAGAGTTCTACCAAAGTACCGCCCTACTACAACGGTCTTTCAGACCCCAGTCTCCTACCGACTACGGTCCTTCAGGCCTTCGTCGCCTACTATGTTCCTTCCGACCTCCATTAACAGACGACGATCTTTCTGACCGCGGTCTCCTACCGACTACGGTCCTTCCGACCAGACAAACATATATATGTAATTCCTACTATGTAATTCAATCTGCATGATGTACTTTTGTTACATCAATCCAAGGCCTTCTCCCAAGGAAGAGCCTCATTTGTAACAATTACAAATACTAGTGGATTCATTCAAACTGGGCCAGGCCCCGTGGTTTTTCCCCCTTTTAAAGGGTTTTCCATGTAAAAACTCTGGTGTCTCTTATGAATGTTTCACCCCCTCACTTATCTGCTTGTGTGCTGGATTTTCGTACAATGCTAAGACATTAAACCATATATATTTCTCTACCGCCGTGAATATTCCAGGATGCAACAATTACCACTCTAAACGAGGGAAGAAAAATACAATAATAGAAAGAAGAGCTTTTCATTCAGCCTCTTATTTCATGCGAAATTGCTTTCTAAAGTTTCGTTTGGGATAAATTTTTATCACTATTTTTCACTGTTTAAAAAAAATAATACTAAAAAACTGTTGTAGAAAGCATAAGAAAGCTGTCAAAAATGAAGCTTAAAGTAATATTAGTTCAAATATAGCACCGGGCTTTGACTCCCACTTTTTGTAGAGTATAATTAATGTGAGATGCTGAAATTGGAGTGAATAAGTATGGCTGGTTGATAGTTCTTTAAGTGCTCGATGAATTATGAAGAGTTTTACATTGAAGTTCAGCACAATGTGCAAGATAAATTCAGTCGGTGAGTCCTCTTGTACAAGAAAGCTCAATCACTTTAGTAAGTTTTCTGTGATAAATTCATTTGAATGGGTAAATGAGTTGCTGAGTTTCATAGACAAGATGAATCTCTCAATGACTTGACACCACAAGCAAAATACGATGCAACATTGAGAGATTTTAACATTTTTAATACTAATTTGGTTTTAATTTAATTCATATATTTAATTGAGCTTATTAGGATGACCATAAGTTAATATTAGTTCTCTAAGGTTTCGCTTCAAACGATTTTTTTACTGTTTTTTAAAGTAGAATTTTATTAAATAATTTATAATTCAGAAGTTTTATATTAAAAGATACTTAATAAAATATTAAGACAGCTGCCCCAGACTTAGTCTAATTCTCTTTCTTTTTAGTAGAGAAAAATAAGAGAACTAATCAATTGAGCAATGGAACTCAATATTTTGCTTAATGAAGTCACATAAATTAACAATATTTTTAGAAGGTAGCACAAATTAACAAATTTCCTTTAATGTTTATTCATATATTAAAGGAAAACAATTATCAAGAGATCTAAATAAATTTTGTAACAATATGAAACTAGTTTAATTTTATGTATATCTTTTATGGCTTCATACAGTCTAATTTTATTTCTATTAGCTTATAATTTAAATGTCTAATAGTTAAATTTATTATCTAATAAATTAATTATATTTGTGTTATATCTTGTAGATAACAAGATATTAAGAATCTTCCAAAAACTTCCTATAATCCTAAGACACCAAGAAAATTTTTGCTAGAATTTTCATCCCATATTTTTTATCATGATTATACTATGATCATCTAACAATTTAATTGCATTCAACTTTTATATTAGTGATATTCTATAATGATTTAAATATAATGAGAGATAATATATGGTATACATATAAAAAAAAAAAAAAAAAACATATCTACAATTTTAAAGGGGGTATGCCTCCAATCCTCGATTCATTCGAGCTTCATTAAGGACAACTTTTGGCTACTATTTTTTGCTATTAAAAAATTTTCATGCCAAAAAATTTTAGTAGAAAATAGTAAAAAAAATTATCTCAAATTGTAAGTTTAATTTGGACAGCTTTTTTATGCTTTCTAAAGTAGCTTTATAGTACAAAAATTTCTGAAATTATAAATATTTGTTCTAGAAAGCTAATTTATAAAGCAATAAAAAAGTTGTCCCAAATGAAACTAAGATTTTATTTGGGATAGCTTTCTTACTACTATATAAAACATATTTTTAGTGCAATTTTTTTCTTTAATTTTGTAATTGAAAACTACTTTAAAAAGCAGCATGAAAGATGTCCCAAATAAGGTCTAAGGCTCGGGCTTTATTTGGGGAAAAAATTATTTGGTGTGGACTCCGGACGAAGAGCTTCATCCGGACTCCAATAAAATGTTGCCACGTGTGGCCCGAAAATCCCAATACGTGACTCGATGAAAAAAAATTGTTTAGCATGTTTTTTCCAACTTCCCGCCAGCTCGGACTCGACATGGTAACAAGCTCGACGAGTTGAGCTTATCGTGCTCGAACACAATTTCAAGCTCGAAGACTTATAGAGCTCGAGCTCCAACAGGCCTCGGACTCGACTCGTCGACTCGACAAGCAGCTTGACGACGGAGCTCGCGGGTGGGAAATTCTAATCCATGGAGCTCACGAGTGGGAAATCGAAAATGACGGAGCTCACGAGCGGGAAATCCAAATCGACGGAGCTCACACGTGGATCTCAACTGCGGACAAGCTTTGGACGACAACGACAGACGTGAGGTTGGGAAGACGATGGAGAAGATTTGGACGACAACGTCCGTCATTTTCGATACGAGCTTGGGTCCTTGGGACGACATCGTCGGAGTTCGGAAAGATGATAGAGAAGATATGGATGATGACGTACGACATTTTCGATTACGGGCTCAAGTCCTCGTGACGATGTCGCTGGAGTTCGGGAAAACGACGTAGAAGATGATGAGCTCGGGATGAAGGATATCGATTGAAGAGGTCAGAAAGATGGACGCAACGACGGGCGACAATTTCGACAGCGGAGCTCGGGACTGAGCTC